CCACTATTAGGTGTAACGCTTCACGACCTATACTAGTTACAATTTCATTAAAGAACAACTGACAAGATGTCGACCTCGTGACTGAGTAGTCTGTTAAATAACTCTTTGGTTTCTGAAAAAGGTCCCAAGTTCCACTCTTAGAGGGTACACTGTTGCCCATAGATTTACAAGCTCATCTAACTAACGTGTCCCGAATAGGATGAATTGTCTGTTTTCGATTTCATCGCTAGCCACTTTCAGGTAAATTACATTCTTCATACTTCTGTTCGTTTAATTTTTAGGTTTAGTATTTACATTAAAAGCTTATCAATGAAATAACTAACTATACTGATATGTATCCCCATGATGTGTGTTTTGTTTTTGACAGTCTATTATATTTTGCTATGTGTATATGGATCGATATTTCATCATAAGTGACAATATGCTTTGTATGTCCACTAACTAAATAAACAATGTATGACCTTATTATCACATGACATTACAACCAATCATGTTAAACTTTTTAATTATTGGTTCATGTGTATTAGTCATTTTCATATATACTTTTGTACTGGATTATTGTTCATACTTGTTCGTAGATTCGTACCTTTTCACTCACACACTAGTGTGACATTTATTTTCCTTGTCTGGAAAATACAAGTATCATCGTAAACCTGGTGGTCTTCCGATTTCCCTCTTTCCGCGTCAGGACTATTAACTACTCGACAAATACATAACATAATTGGCGACGGGGAAAACTCTAATAACTCACTCAGCAGCTGTACATAACATATATCAACACCTCAGCAACTAAAACCCTAGAGATTTGTTAAAAGTATACTTCAACCAACAATTTGACCTAAACGTGATTTCGGACTATATGCTTCTATTTAACGAAGTTAATATTGTAGTTGTAGCACAGCTGCTTTTTAGGATTTGGAGACTTTGTTGCCTGTTTTCTCTAAATTTAGTGAAATTGAATCCATTTTACTCATGATTAGGCCATAATTAGCTATCTGGAATCTAGCCTACAGGCTGTTTATTATCAAAGACATTTCGGTTTTAGAAATCAAGAGTCTAAGAAATAATGTCATTATGTAGAGTGAATTATCAAAGGGAGATTAACAGTGGAAATTAACTGGGCTTCCTAGACATTTTACTTACTGAACTTTGCGAAGAATTCATAAACTGGAGTGTATGAAACTATACCACTTACCTAACAGACACACAAAATGGCGGATGTTTACGAACAACCTTTAGAAAAGCAGAAACTCACTTAAATGCAATAAATGTTGGGGAAGTAAATAAAGAATCCTTACTAAAGTTATACTAACTGAAGAGACACTCAGAATCCTTGAAATGTAGCCTCTCTAACATAATTTATCAGTTCATAAAAGAGTTGTACACATATATACTGACAGTTATCAAAGAGGCAACTGAATATTGATTGAGATTCTACAGAATAGGTGTAATTCACAAACATACGAAGTCGCAACACATACTCTAATATAGGCTAAAAGGCATAGTACTCAAGTGTGAAAAGTCAGACATTGTCTACTTAATAAAATGTATTAAAATATTGAAAAATATCTCATCCTCACAGTATATTATATATATATATATATATATATATATGTAGACTTTAATAGCAATCGAATACAATATTACGTAAGTTTATGAACCTCCTTGCGTGCAGACAGTAAGTTCACTTCACGATCATTAGACAAATAGTTTCAACTCAAGCATGTTACCCAAAAAAACTAAAAGCGAACGCTTGAAAATAGAGAGAGACAGTGGTATGAAAGCAGACTTTAAATATGACTTGAAACTTGACAAAATACAAGTCTGTCTTTTCGTGTCGTAAATACATTGGATAATACAAGAAATGCACAAGCGAACACCCTTCATATCAGAATCAACAAACGCATTCCACAATAAGAAAAAAATATCGTTCAAATAAACGGAAGAAACTCATAGAAAACTTTCACTGAAGCAACAATTGGAGAAATTTTCAGTTTATCAACATCCCAAAGATAAAAAAGCCATAAACAGTCAATATTTAACCATGAAACAGGTTAGTAGGAGGTAATCAACTAGAGTAAGATCATATGCGATTGAGACAGAGCGATCATAGTGCTTTCACTATTGGATTTTTGGTCAGAAATATTGATAAGTCGAAATAAGAAAAGGTAAGTTGTCAAAAAGGAAATAAACTCATACATGTATATATATATATATATATATATATATATGAGTGTGTATATATGTGTCCAGACGGACATACCAAAAACCGGTTGGACTTCATTTCAATCTCAAGGAAGTGGAGACAGAGCCTACTGGACACAAGGTCGAGGAGAGGGGCAGATGTGGTTCAGACCACTATCTAGTACAAGGAACTTTCAAGGTGAAGCTAAAGGCCTTGAGGATAGCTGCGGATAGGCCACATTGCAAGTTCAACACTCAAAAACTGAAGGACACAACCACAAAAGACACTTTCACTGCAACTGTCAGAGCAAAGCAGGAAACACTACGTGACATCACAGAAAAACCATGCATGGAAGACCATTGGAATCCTCTGAAGGTGATTTTCAACGGTTCTAGGAAGAAGGAAGAGACAAGACAAGGAATGGCTCTCAACGGACACTTGGAAACTAATAGAAGAGAGGAGAATGGTGAAAGAGAAAATGATTCAATGCAAGGACGGACAGAGAAGGAGACGCTGAGCTCAACTTACACGACACTGGGCAAAGAAGTGAAGAAGAGTGCTAGGAAGGATAAAAGACAATTTTATGACAACCTGGCCACTGAAGCTGAAAAGGCAGCAGGCAAAAGGGACCTGAGGACATTATTTCAGATAACCAAATCTCTATCCGGGAAGAGATCAACACAAGTGAAACCTATAAAAGACAGCCAAGGGAAACCAATTACCAAGGAAGAAAGACAGATTAAGCAATGGGCGGATCACTTCAAAGGACTCTTGAACCGACCATCACCAGCAACCCGTCCAGAAATACCAGCAACAGCGCGCACACAAGTGCGAGTTGACACCAACCCTCCAACGAGAGCTGAAGTCTTGAATGCAATCAAGCTCCTGAAAGCTGGAAAAGCAGCCGGACCAGATGGAATACCTCCTGAAGCACTGAAAGCGGACCCAGAGACTACAGCAGATATGCTGACTCCATTATTGCAAAAGGTCTGGAAGGAGGGAAAGGTGCCTACTGACTGGAGGAGAGGTTACCTCGTGAAACCAACAAAGAAGGGTGACTTACGCCTCACTCTGCAAGAACTGGCGAGGAATCATGCTCCTGTCGACGCCATGTAAAATTCTGAGTCGCATCATCCTGGAGAGAATAAAGAACACACTGGATACAGAACTCCGACCAAAACAAGCTGGATTCAGGAAAGGCAAATCATGTTCTGACCAAATTGCAACTCTACGCATCATCATCGAACAAAGCATGGAATGGCAATCAAATCTCCACCTCAACTTGATAGACTTTGAGAAGGCCTTCGACAGACAGCGTTGACCACGAAGTAATTTGGAAACTACTCGAGCACTACTGCGTACCCCAAATATTCATCAACCTTATTCAACAGCTGTACGACAACAGCACATGTCAAGTGATCCACAACGGAAAACTTGGCGAGGAGTTTGGAATAAACACAGGAGTCAGACAAGGCTGCGTGCCTATTATCACCAATGATATTCCTAATTGTGGTGGACTGGATTACACGTCAGACAGTGGAAACGCGAAGACAGGGATATCTTGGACTGACGTGAAGAACCTTGAAGACCTGGATTTCGCGCATGGATGATTTATGCTTGATATCACACAAAATCGAAGACTTACAGCGAAAACCGACCGACAAACTGGTCGAAGAAGCAGCAAAGACATGACTTCAGGTGAACATAGACAAAACGGAGGTCCTTATATGGGACTCGTCATCTGGATGAGCCTACAAACATAGGAAGATATGTCTGAATTAACTAACGGCAAACCAACAGCATTTCTACTGACAGATTGATAATATAACCATAAGTTTCGATATTCTAGGTTGAAAGTCCAGTCTCAGAACAGTTCTACAAATATTTCGAGATGCTTTATAAGTTTATATTTTGCGAACTGTATTACAGTAGATGCTTATATGTACTTAAAGTAGTGAATACAACTATCCGATTTGTATTCAAATCACAATATTCTCTTGTATATGTATATATTATATAGTCAGTTTATTATTCATCTAATTGATATGATATGACCATTTTGTTTTACAATGAATCACTATTCACTAGAAATATAAACTAACTTCAGTGAATGGAATACATAGTCAATTGTCGCATTGTCTGACGGTGAAGGGAAACGTTTACCATGATAGTCTTTATTTTATAATTCTATGATAACAATAGGTGTCATTATCTTGCTTTTGTTAAGTGTATATTGTCGAATATTTTCCCATAGGACTGAACAAAGTATTTTTCTTTTCACAACTAGGATGCTGTATTGTTCGTCTGGAAAAAAGGGTGTGTTCAACAGTATCTCGTTTATCATCGCCTTAACACCTAATGACAATAAACAAAAGGTAAGGTTTGAGCAAAACTGTTTTACAACCGATGACGTAATTCACATTCATTATTTGAGTTCATGCAAGTATTGTTCTGTTCTGTTCTGCCTAACAATGAAAACAGAGGAAATCAATTCATTAGTGTCATGAGAAAACAAAGTGTTACATTATAACACTGTTATGCTGAAGTCTATGATGGTACAATAGATACAACAGAATGTTCTCCATCCATTCAGTCATCCACTGATATCTTTATTTATTCAATAATCAGACTGTCAGTATTCTATGCATTAGTCAAGCTTGTTTTCAGTCTGAATATGTAAAAAAAATGTGGGACAGCTGCTTGTCGTATAGATTCTAGCCAATAGCTGAGGTGAATCCACTCTGAATGTACCTTCTCTCCTAATATAGACAGAGAGAGGCAGAGAGAGAAAAACTATAACAAAACAGAACGAGACATCGAATATACACACAGTACTACTTGAGTTATATAATACAGTATTACTTTTAAACTTCTTTGGAATTTCTAATGAATCGAATAAATGAATTAATTCCTTACTTAACTAATGGTTTAATTGAATATGAAACACAAAAAGTGGTTCAAATTCATTCAAAGAAAATTGGCATAACATTTAGACTGATTCAACTGGGAATTATCCTTTATGTTATACTATGGGTTATGCTGTATGAAAAAGGCTATCAATCATTTGATCAAGCAGTGAGTGGAGTAACTGCTAAACTAAAAGGTGTAGCATTCGCCAATGTGACAAGTAATCCTGAAATTGGCGCTAGAGTCTGGGATGCAGGAGATTATGTGATACCACCACAACAGAATTCTGCTTTCTTTGTCATGACAAATGTTGTTTATACAACAGGACAAACGCTGGGTATCTGTGAGGAATCACATGATGTACTTGGCAACAGTTGTCAGAATGATACACATTGTCATGCTGGACAGTTAGTTTTACGTGGTAGTGGAATACAAACTGGCCGGTGTGTCAATTCTACAAGACAAGCCAATCTGAGTGTATGTGAAATTTATGGATGGTGTCCTACAGAGTATGATATCACCCCAAGACCGCATTTATTAGGTTCAGCTGAAAATTTCACAGTCATGATTAAAAACAACATTGAATTTCCACGTTTTCGAGTGAAGCGTAGAAATATCTTAAGTTGGATGAGTCGTTTATTCCTGAAAACTTGTCTATATGATCCAAATGATGAGAAACTTAAATATTGTCCTATATTTCGACTTGGTGATATATTAAAGTATTCTGGTTCAACTGACAAGGATATCTGGGAGACTGGTGGAATGGTATCTATTCACATTGAATGGAATTGTGATTTAGATTTCGGTGAGGAGAACTGTTTACCGAAATACATATTTCGTCAATTTGATGATTTTAAATTGAATGTAGCTAAAGGCTGGAATTTTCGTTTCAGTAATCACTACATTGATAGTGGTATGCGTAAACGTAATATGGTTAAAGCCTATGGAATACAATTTTTTATCACAGTCTATGGAAGTGGTGGCAAATTTGATGTATTAACATTTTCAATGAATTTAGGCTCTGGTCTGGCCTTACTTGGCATAGCTACTATGCTGTGTGATTTAATTGTGCTAAATATGACAAGTAAAAGAGGCGTGTATCGGAAGGCAAAAATTGATTTCATCGCTGAAAAGAAGAAATTAAAACAAAATGAAAAAGGTGTTAAAAATCTTCAGCTTCCTACTCTTGCATCGTCTGCAACGACAGATTCTGAAAAAAAGAGTGAATTGATTGTACGACGTCATCTTGACTTTCTAAGAACACCAGAAGCAGAACAGCCACCTTCATTCCCTCATATAAATTCATTCAATGTTCAGCCTAATACACTTACAGTCAAATCGCCAAATATAAGACCAGTAGATATGAATTTCGCCATAAAATTGAAAGGGAATCCTCCCGCCTTCACACAGTCAAGTTTTTCTACATTTATAACACCAGGAAACAGAAGTTTATCCTCGGGAGGAAATCATTTATCCAATGGTAAAGCAGACATAACTTCAAATCAAAGTTACACTGGAAATAACTTAAAAAAATTTTTAGTTGCACCCACAAATACAATTCTGGTGAGTTCTAACATAAGAAATATGGTTACTAAATATTAAGTAAAAGTTAACTGTATCAACAGTCGAAGATGTATTATTGATTTCGATTGTATCACATTTCGATTTACTGAAATCTTGTCACAATGCCAGTTATAAATGAAGTCATGCATCAACTGTATTTCATGCTGTGGTTTAAATATAAAAATGGGCTTGCGTATTAATGTTATTATCAGGGATGCATGTAATAACTAAAGATGATGCAAGTACGCGAAGTCTAGGAGGCATTTCACCTAAACAACACAAACAAGGCTTGTGTTATTTTTCCTTTAAATTGTTCCACTATCTTCATACTACTTATTTGTGTCAGTAGCTGGTAACTGTTTTACGATTTTTCAGTAGCGCAGAGTTTAAGCTTTCATTTGTTGTGCTTGTTTTAGTGTAATAAATTTAATCCTATCAATGTGACTGTGTGTTTTGGTCTTACCACTCTGACAGTATACCTTAATGTTCATTTTCTGCAGTGTAGATATGATAGAGAAGATTTGTTGCTCAGGTGGATCATATTGAATTAGTTGTGTTCTCCGAGCTGGATTGTTAATTTTCGAAGCTTTCATCGCCCTACTAGGCAACATCTTCAGCACATACTTCAATTTGAAATGGGCTTCTACATTTCTCCACGATTTTATTAATCATCTCTCCTGGTGACCTTCAACATGATTGGTTGTTTTTGTGTGTTTTCACACCTTCTAGGTTACTTGTATTGGAACTGATTGTTTCTTTGACTTGAACTTTGACCCTTTGTGTGTGAGGTTTCTTTCTTATCGGTTGATAAATTTTGTCTATCTCGATGTGTCTATTGATTGATGATTCACTGGAATACCAGGTGGGCTTCTAAAAGTTCTCTAGCATTCTTGGTTGTCCCAGTGGGTTTGATGTCCGTGGTTGTCTGTATGTAGTGATATGAGTGATGGAGTGGATATCATGTCTTTTGACTCTTCAAACTTTTAGGAATTGACGTCGTACACAAACCAACAAAATCACTTCACTCAGTTCTATGTCAACCAAAAAACTCTACAGCGAAAGAAGATAAAACTAACATCATTTGCAGAACAAATCTTAACCACTGCGAAAAAAACTACACTGACCAAAGTGGACGTCCCGTTCGTCTTCGTATCCATTAACGTAAACTATCCGTCAAAAGACATGATATCCACTCCATCACTCATATCACTACATACAGACAACCACGGACATCAAACCCACTGGGACAACCAAGAATGCTAGAGAACTTTTAGAAGCCCACCTGGTATTCCAGTGAATCATCAATCAATAGACACATCGAGATAGACAAAATTTATCAACCGATAAGAAAGAAACCTCACACACAAAGGGTCAAAGTTCAAGTCAAAGAAACAATCAGTTCCAATACAAGTAACCTAGAAGGTGTGAAAACACACAAAAACAACCAATCATGTTGAAGGTCACCAGGAGAGATGATTAATAAAATCGTGGAGAAATGTAGAAGCCCATTTCAAATTGAAGTATGTGCTGAAGATGTTGCCTAGTAGGGCGATGAAAGCTTCGAAAATTAACAATCCAGCTCAGAGAACACAATCACATCAACATTTTCTGCAGCGTAGTGGATAACCCTAGATGAAACATTTCGAAGATAATAAAGTGAGAAAATAAATAATATACTTTTCAGAAAGCAGAGTAGTGAACACAGAATATTCTTTTCGATAATTTCTTCGCGATGAAATCAATCAGCTCAGAGAACACAACTAATCCAGTATGATCCACCTGAGTTACTGATCTTCTCTATTATTTCGAAATGTCACACAATTGTTGATCAAGTGTTGGTTTTTAGGGATTTAATTGGTTACAGGTTTGTCCATAAGGCGACATCAGTTGGAGAATCACCTGAAAACCTGGGAGTAGGGACAGTTGCTTCGTCCTAGCTCGGGGCTCTTCGTCAGTTTTCCAGTGGTACTCTTACTGTCGTGAACTTGTAATGAAACTATTTCCCTTGATAAACTTGCTAGGTCAGCTATGAATCTCCGTCTCAGTCGTTTCTTATTTATGGATACAAAACAGTCTTTTTTTGAATTCCTTAGACATGTGTTTCATGATGAAATTTATTAAGTAGTTATTTTAAATTGAGGTGTCATCTACAAGCTTAAGTTCTTTTTCATTTATGTCTTCTGGACATAGCCCTGTATCTGACAGTCCTAAACAAATTTCATTTTGATTGCATGGAGGATTTAATCATGAGCTGACATCAGTTAGAGAACCACTGGAAAACCTGGGAGTACTGGACAGCTGTTTCGTCCTAGTTTGGGACTCCTCAGCAGTACGCACCCACCGGGATTCGAACCCAGGACCTTCTAGGTTACAAGGCGAGCTCGTAGACCATTGAGCCACTGGGACCCGATCCAATGGTCCTTGAATTCTAACTTCTGCCAGTTCACGATATAGCGCGACCACTTCGCAATGTCTTCTCCGATGAGTTACTGCCTCATCTTCGACCTGCTGTACCCTACTGGTCACGGCTTCCCACTAGAACCCCAGGTTAACTGCCTGAATAGGGCCAGTCACTAGTGAGCATCAGATGAATTTTCAAAAAAAAAAACCAATACTTGAAAATTTCATTTTCACGGGAGAGGAATGGATCTGTGAAAATGGGTATATTGTCCTGTCCATATACTTTCTTTATACTACATTCTTTTTATGCTTCTATCTGCTCTTCTTCTGAGAAAAACATCCAAGAAGGCAATTTCCTTGTAGGATTCTTCACGTGTGAATTAGATGGCTGAATATTCCTCACTGAATCTAAGTATTGCTGATGGCCTATATAAGTCATTTTCACAAAGGATGAATGTATAGTCCATATGTCGGTGGCAAAATGATAACCTTCTGATGAGATTATTCAGACAACCATTTTCCAGTTCACTTATAAAGAAATCGCCTAGCATGGGACCCAACGGAGAGCACAATCCCACCTCTATCCGCTTATCTTTTGAAGTATCTAACGGGCATCCTAGTAAATGATTCTGTCTGTCTATATGTACTCGTTTTTATAAACGAACTTATCACCACTAGGATGGCAAAACTATCTGTTATTATTAAAAAAATTTACGTAGACTAGCGTAGAGCCATTAGTAAGGATCGAATTGGAGATTAAATATTTCTTCACTCAATATTTCGGGTTTTTAGATATTTTCTATGAGCTTAGTGAATTGTCTGTCAGTTGAACAGAAGTATCCTGTTTCACAGTGTTCATTTAGCATCGCTTTTCTCGGAGAGAAAAATTCTCAAGCAAAATTAATTAATCTTTTAATAAGTCACTGACCTAAAATATTTACGATGTATGTTAAATTTTTTACTTTCACAGAGAAGATACATCTATATTGCGAAAATACTTGCGGGTGTTCGATTTCATAGGCATTTGATTTATTCATATTTATGTTCTTTTATTGCAGTTGCTTCAGCTATATGAAGCAGACGTAAGTGAACTATCTGAGATAACGACATCGAAATTCGGTATATAACCTTGAAAGCTGTGTTGAGATCGATGCAATGTCCAGTATCGACCAAGTGTGACAGGATCAGGCTTTGTATGCACTTAGTCCCCTCCACCGTTGCTGAACCAAGCAGGTAAATGTTCTTGAACCCGCAGACGAACCTGCCTAATCAAGCTCCCTGTATAACTCGAACCACCGGAACAGCTGAAATGGTATATGCATGAAGAAGAGCTAAGGTTAGGTAAGACATCTTTGATATGATTATGAGCAATAGTTTGTGCTCGAAATGTCATCAGTTAATATAACTGTACAACACTGTGTGATTTAAAAAATAAAATCGTATCCATAATGGAGTTATACTCTACCACAGTGCCCAAGTTTTATACTTATATCAAGACATCTTTGAGTTGCTGGGTGGACATTAGACGGCTGCTGAAGGACAGACATAGACGTGCAGAGTAGAAAGTTTCCTTTGCCTTCCTGGTTAAACTCTGCGATAGAATCTCAGCAGGAGTATCTCCCTTGAATTGCAGAAGTAAAAAATTATATTTGTTCATTCACTAATCAGTCTTATTCTTATCGAAACAGTATTATGTATTGTTATGTACTACTGTTTTACTTATATAAGTAGTTGAATGCCAGTTACATCGGTCTGTACTGCTTGCTAGATGTATTGAAGTGATCTTAATATCAGACAGTCATTTCTGTCATTTTGAGCGAAACTTATCAGTGGTCTATCCAGTTTGACTTAGTCCTGAAAGCCAAATCAACTCAAACCACCTGACTGACTGATAAGAGTTTTATTCGGCTACACATATCCTATTAGTCATTGATTGTTTACTGTTTTGATTTCCATTTATGGCGCCAAAGTAGATTACATATTGTGATCGGAATAATCTCAGTTTCCAAGACAAACTTTGATGGAATTTCCCCTCGAAATGTTTGACTTCCAAATCAGAAATTTAATTTACAAGTTGTGAATTCGCCTCCAATCATGGTTTTTTGTCTATAGGGTAATAAGATGGTGAATATAAATTGTGCAATTGGTCATAATAGCATTAATGACAATAATAATGGTTTTATCACTAATAAGGATGCAAAAGTGAGGCAATCTGTGATAACACCAATAATGAAAATAATTAATCAAATGATTAAACAAACTAATGTTCAGATGGAAGTAGTCGATAAGGCCAACGTGTTAGTGAACATCTCCCATCGTGGTTTGGAAAAGGACAGACATAAACAATCCGTAGCTCAATTCTGTCACATTTAATTGATAGTGGTCATGTAGTCCAGAAACAACAGCCTTCAAAGTAATCCATCGTATCCCACCGAATCATTCTAATAGACTTTGTATTCGTCTACTGCACACACACACACAGCTGGGGCGATAGGCATTCGAACTATTAAACCTAAAATATGCATTCAAAAGAAGTTCGTACAGCCATTATCCCCCCTTTGTTGGTCTATTAAGACATAACCGACTAAAGACTTCTACACCACCCCATGTTTATATTTTCAACCGCTTTCTTATCATCCCTTAATCTTATCACATCTTCATTATAAACGTGTTTAATTTCCTTCCCTTACAATCTAACATTACTTAGTCGGTTAATTTGTTTTTATTAGCCTTTATTGACTACTTCCACCTGAACGTTTGTTTGTTTAATCATGCTATTTTAACATTATCCGTGTCATTATAGATAGCCTCAATTTTGTATCCTTATTATTGATTATTATACTATTATCATTACTACTATCCTCACTAACTGCACAATTTATATTCACCATCTTATTATCCTGTGTGCGTCAGTGGCGTAGCGGTTAGGACGCTCGCCGACGATGCACATGGTCCGGGTTTCGGTCCCCGGCCGACGCATTCC